CTAGAACTCCGGTACACTTGTGGATTTCTTGGGTTTAAGTTTTCTTATACCACTGATTACATCACTCTTAGTGATGTTTCCAAAGTCAAAAGTGCCCCATTCTTTATTTTCATAATGATAATTAGAGAGATTTGAAAATTCATCACCTTCAGCCTTCAGTTTGATCCTCGGTTTGATCACTTCCAACTGATGGCCACTCAAATCCTCATGTACCTACATATTTGAGAGAATAAGAAAATGATCAGTGATAATATTTGCATGCGCCAGCAGTGTCAAAAATGTTATTTCCGGCGATATTTCTTACATATAGCCTCGCATATAGCACTTTTGTATTTTATTTTTCGGAAAATCATAGTGGCTATTTTTAATTTGAGTTGTCTTCTTTATCGAATTTACTAGGTACCAAAAGAAGTTTTCCTTTCCTAAAATGTATCATTAGCCTCAGATTAATATTACTACTTCCTTAGGTAAGTAGGTATGCTTGGTCCTTGGCTTGATAATTTCAGCGAAATCCTGCGCAATCATGAGAAATTCTTTGCAATCATGCAAAATCCCGCGAAATCATACAAAATTCCTCGAAATTTTTCGAAATCATGTGAAATTTTGCGAAATCCCGCGCAATCATGCGAAATCCCGCGCAATCATGCGAAATCCCGCGCAATAATGTGAAATCCAAAAAACAACTCTGCCAAATTTCATGCTTTTAACCCAATTTGCTACATTTTACCCCATTTTGATGGTCTGCCGCATAGACTAACTTGAATAACTTGTCACATTATGTTACTACTTTGGTAAAGTAACATTACTTATTCCTGTTGAAAGGCAAATTGACAAAAAGTGAATAATCATAATTTTACAAATTTTGACTTTATATAATAAGTTATTGTTCAAGTGTATAAATAAGTGGATTATTGCGGAACTTATGCGTGGACTTTTGTGGGACGAACGCAGCGAGTTTCACAGCCATCTACTCACCAATATACTATTGAACTATTCAAATAAGACACTCACCTGAAACTTGTAGTTTTTGAACTAATGAGATTAACTGACATTTGAGTGAGTCAGGTTAGTATCGTACTTGAACAACGTATCAATAGACACTTTAAGGCCGCGTTAATGGCCGCCATGTTTAAACTGTGATTGGTTGATTTTTCGAAACTTGTTTTAAGGTCTTTAAAAAAACGGCACATCAGAATTGGCTCAAATTTGGCATAAACATTATTTGATCGATTATCTACAATTCCTTATTTTGATTTTTCGATATTCAGCCCTTTTCTTAAATTCAAAAATCATGTTCGCAACCACCAAAACAATTAAATGGGTTGGTGGTTGCATATTTGCATGTTTATCAAGCTTGGATCCGCTAAAAGCATATTTTATTGATAACCACGAAAAACTAAAAAAAGCTAATTGGAGAGATTGTAGATAATATATCAAATAATGTTTATGCCAAAGGATTTTGGAAATAATTGCGGATTTTTTGAGATGACCTTAAAACAAATTTCGAAGGTGAAAACAGTTCAAGCAATTTCAACTAGATGGCGCCACGGCAAAAAAGCTACATTGGGAGCATCATAATCGTATATTTGTCTTTCTCTGTCACTAATGGCCATTTGCACGGCTATCACTTAAGGGATATTTAATCTAAGTGAAGCTTTGAATGTGACTTTTGTTTCCACAAGAGTCACATTCAAAGCTCCCCTTGGATCAAATATCCCTCAAGTTATAGCGGTGCAAATGGCCGTAAGTGTTTCACCGACAAACAGATTTTGTTTTGGACAAATAATAAAATATTGAACCCTATGTGTAGAGTGACGCAGTCGTCATTTTCAAAAACTAAATTTAAACAAGGCGGCCATTAACGCGGCCTTAAGCAGATCCTGAATTTCAAACGCATCCGTATCCGCATCGATCTGCGCATGCGCAAAATAGATACGGTGGTTTCGCTGCGTTGCATTGCCCGTATCGTTACGGGCTTAGCCTCGTACCCGTATCCGGAAACGTATCTCAATCATTTGACACTATTGAGAGATCTCCTTGTTAAGCCCATTTTACAATGGACGTAACGTATAACCGTAAAGACGTAACATAAGTCCTAAGCATGCGCACATTAGATTTATTTGCGTCAACCGGAAACGCAACGTAAGAGATGCCGCCGTGCCGCTTTGTCAAGTAAATCATGCCACACGTCTCGTCCGGCGACGGCGATGATCTCGGTAGCACCGATGAGGTCAAGGTGTACAAGGACGATGAGGGTATTGACGAGGACGATAAACGGTCCTCGAAGAACGTAACCGAGGTTAAAAGCAGTCTCATGGATCTCACCGAGTCGGAGGTAAATCGATCAGCTTCAATTTGGTGCAAGAATCGTCGAAATCGGACGAGTAGTTTAGGAGTTATGGGTGTAACAGTATTTTTGTAACAACACTGGAATTTGGTAGCAACAAGTCGTTAGTAGGTTTGGGGCAAGATTCCAATTATTTATTCTTGTAGCAACACTTTATTTGTGTAGCAGCACGAGATCAAAATATGTAGCAAGAAAAAAAAATTAGCAACACCTCTTGAGTAAAAGTATAGCAACACTCGTTTTTGTGTAGGAATAAACTCATTTGTGTGATAGTTTTTGCTCAGGAGAAAAGTTTGTTATGTAGCAACACGAAATAAAAAGTGTAGCAACACAATCGTTTGAAGTACTTTTTAGTAGGTTTAGAGTAAGATTTCAATGAACTTATGTAGCAACATTTTTAAAAAGAAAAAGTGTAGCAACATTAGCGAAAGTGCAGCAACAAGTCGTTTTGGGGGTAGTTCCTTTTAGTGGGGTTTTAGGGTGAAATTTTGTAGCAACATGTAGCAACACTTGTTATATGAATATGTATTGAATTCGTTTGTAGCAACATTTGGTAAAAAATTAAGTTTCTCATCGGGTTTGGAATTAGAATTTTACATTTTCCCGGCTTTTGATTGGTTTTGGGAATTTGAATTTTGATTATTCCCAGCTTTTGATTGGCTTATTTTTGAATTTTCCCGGCTTTTGATTGGTTTAGGAATTCAATTTTTAATCATTCCCGGTCTTGATTGGCTTAGAAATTCAAATTTGCAATATTCCCGGCTCTTGATTGGCTTCCAAAGCCAGTTTTTGAATTTTCTTAACTCTTAATTGGGTTTAAAATTCAAATTTTAAACATTCCCGGCTCATGATTGGTTTAGAAACTGAATTTTTGATTATCCCCGGCTCTTGATTGGCTTCAAATTTTGAATATTCCCGGCTTTTGATTGGTTTAGAAATTCAAATTTTAAATATTCTCGGCTCTTGATTCGCTTCCAAAGTCAATTTTTGAATTTTCCCGGTTCTTAATTGGGTTTAAAATTAAAATTTTGAATATTCCTGGCTCTTGATTGGCTTTGAAATTCAAATTTTGAATATTCCTGGCTCTTGATTGGCTCTGAAATTCAAATTTTGAATATTCCCGGCTCATGATTGGTTTGGAAATAGAATCAAAACCTAAGAATATTTTAAATTTGAATTTCTAAGCCAATCAAGGGCCGGGAATATTTAAAATTTGAAGCCAATCCAGAGCCAGGAATAACCAAAAATTTAATTTCTAAACCAATCATGAGTAGGGAATATTCAAAATTTGAATTCCAGAGCCAATCAAAAGCCAGAAATAATCAAAATTTTAATTTTAAATCCAATCAAGAGCCGGAAAAATTAGAAAACTGACTTTGGAAATCAATCAAGAGCCGGGAATAATCGAAAATTCAATTTCTAAATCAATCATGAGTCAGGAATATTCAAAATTTGAATTTCAGGGCCAATTAAGAGTCAGGAATAATCAAAAATTCAATTTCTAAACCAATCATGAACCGGGAATATTCAAAATTTGAATTTCAGAGCCAATCAAAAACCAAGAATAAGCTAAATTTGCATTATTATCATCTTCTCTTATGTTGCGTTTCCAGTAATATATTTGACGCAAATAAATCTAATGTGCGCATGCTTAGGATTTATGTTATGTCTTTACGGTTACGTTACGTCCATTGTAAAATGGTCTTTAGTTATCACTAAAAAAAAAATTAACATTAACCAGTACTCACAGATAAAAAGAAAACCTACGAACACACAAAATCAATACAACACTTTTTGAGGTTAGAAAACATTTCATCTAAGGATACTAGTTTACGTAATATATGTATCGCCTTGCTTAAAAGGATTTTTAGGCGGTTAACGTAAGTCAATGCGTTTACGGATACGAGATACGGATACGTAGAAAAATTTAGGATTTTTGGAGCCGAATATATGAGAGACTGTTCAATCAAATATAGATCGGGGCATTGTGCTCTTCAAGAATATAGAATGAAATATAGGGTATCCCATTTAAAAAAAAGCTGGAAGCTTGCAACATTTTACATTTCTGATATTAAAATTTTGTTTCTGACCAGGGTTTCTAAAAATTCAGTCAAAACTGTACAACTTTTGTATTTACACCTGTAAAGGTAAAGGCTGCAGGTGGGGTGTCAATATATAAAAAAACACCCTGTACCTACCTATTTAAAATCACCTTATTCTCGTAAGTAGTTTCCCCATTCCCATATTTTTATGGGCCATTCCTTCAAAAAAGCGTATCTTGCACAATGCGCTGCGAAAACTAACCCAATCTGGCTTACTTTAACTTAAACTGCCCCCCTTTTCAAAAGACCTGTATCCGCCCCTGCTTGGTAATGTCTATTTTTAGGACAAAATCTTCTCATAAAGCCTGTTTTTTTTTTAAAGATAATTCCCCAAGTCAAAAATTTAGTAACTATGTTGGCAACACAAGCCTTTTCTACATAAAAAATTTGGAAGCATTGACAATTTTACATTGTATTGCCAACATAATGTCATTTTGACTTTTTTCTTTAAAAAAAAACACACTTTATGAATTCAATCCTGCGTTCAAGGGCAAATCTATCTAAAGTAGGCGGTGAAAAAAAGACAAAATTATCAGTGACGGAAAATCAATCAAAATTATGACTTTTACATTTGTAATGAAGTCAGAAGTATATTTTTTCAAAATAATAGATAACTAAAAAACCGAGAAATATGGCGTTGGCACGTGCATATGGAAAAGTGCCCGAAATATATGGATATCAAACGTTACATCGTGAGATCGGATACTATATTTCCAGGTAAGTTGACATTGTAATGCTCTAAATCAATCCAAAAACTATCGTTTTCAGAATAGAACAATATGAAAAATCGGTCAAATTTTTCGACGAGGCCATCAAAAAAACCCCGGACGACAAACGAGCCTTAATCGGTAGAGCCAGAGCTAGATCGAAAGTAATCGAATATGAAGGAGCCTTGGAAGATGTCAACAAAGCCTTAGGCTATGACCCTAGCGATTTGGTTGTTTTGGCCGATAAGGCCTTAAACACCTATTTGTGTTGCGAATTTGAAGAAGGCACTTACTTATCATTATTATATTTTAAATAAAACTCAAAACTAAATGTTTTAGGGCTGCTTCAAAACACCCGTTTACTACCACAACGTAAAAAACCCGACAATTTTAGCATGGGCGTGATGCAATGCTCGGACGCTATCGAAAATTGCCTGGGCGAACGAGCCGGCAGGCCTTTGCGCGATCATTTTCTGATCATCCGCAAAATGGCTTGGGAGAGAAACTATGCCGCTCATAAACCGTTCGAGCCTCAGCCCAGAAATAAACCGAAAAAAAGGAAGAAAATTATGTTGAAGAATTTGTTGGATTTGCAAAGTGAAGGATTGAAAGAGGCACCCGCTCAACCGAAGAAATTATTGAAATTGAGAAGCAAAAGTTATCGTAATTTTTAAACACATTAATTGGCCATTAAACATATCATCAATCATTTGTAGTTGAGATGGACGAAAAAGGCACTCTAGACATCCGTGAATCGCTTCATTCAATAGAACCCGACAACGAACCAATACCTAAATACTCCAAACCCTTCCCGTTTCGTCCTCTACAACACTTCACGACAAATATAGAAAACTACATGGCCGAAAAATACTTGGACTCGATGTACTTGGACAAAATCTTTTTGAAACAGTTACAATCGGCGCCGGGTGCCAAAAGTCCCAATAAGGACGGCACCAAACGCATCTATCATCTGGCCAAAAATTGTCACAAAACTGTTCACTACAAGCAAGAATTACTAAGAACCCGTAGGCCGTTCTATTTCATTAAATATCAAGAAGCTACAGTTACGGGTGGTTTGAAAGAAAGACAAAAAATGGAGCTTGAACATCAACAATACCTAACCAAAATCGAAGCCGACACGCTTTGCAGCAAAATGATGGAAGCTTACACTAAAAAGCAGTTGAAGACCGTGCTGCACTTCGTTGAAAAGTTGAAGGCCTTTTGCGATTATAAGCCTAAAAAGCTTCTGCCTGACAAGGACAAATACATGGTTCAAGTGTTCGATACTATAGCGAAGGCGTTTTACGATGTGTACAGGGTTAATCCTGAACATTCTTTCTTCCAACAGAAAAAGCGTATTTATGCGGTCTTGGGGATTCCTCTGAGCAGACAACCTTCGAGGGATTCGGTGGTGGATCAGTTCAAAGACACGTTCTTTGATCATCAAAGGAGAATTGAAGAATTTTCTAGGAGGTTGTGCGAAGCTACTTCTTCAGAAGAAACTTGCTGGTATTATCATGAGTTATCTAGGTAAGATTGATAGCTATCTCAATGTCAATTTCCTTTATTATCGGTACCTACTAACTTTTAAAAAGTCCATAGAGGAATGTGGTAGGATTCAATGGATCTTCTAGTAGATGATCTTTTCGGATGCAAAAGATCAGTTTTTCGTCCACTTGGCGAAAGTTTTTCAGCTCCACTGTTGGAAGTCTTTTATCTAACAATAGTGGTAACTTTTTCTTATGTTTATCATTATTGCATACTTTATAATTTACTGTCTAAAACGTTCAATTGTAACCAAGTTACAAGTTGTCTACCATCGACAGTTCCAGTTTTTTTCTTTATGCACTTTTTCTAGAATCGTTCCTTTTCCGAATCTTTCCTACAGCTCATCCCAAATTACAGATACCTATACATTTCAAAATATTTTTTTTTTTGATGTTGCCCTTAAGATGTTTTTGTAAATTGTAGATTCCGCAAACTCAGACCGAGACTTCTTCACAGAAGCCGGATAGGTCTGATTTTGTTTTATCCATCTTTTCCAGGTGGTAATCCACAGGGCAGTGACCCGTATAAGGAGCAGCTTTAAATCTGCTTTACTAAGGTCAATCATTTCCTTTGTCTTTATTGAGCGAGATGAATTGTTTTGCCTGTCTAAGTTTTGGAAGCGTGTTCTAGCGGCCGGCTTATTGAGCCTTTACCCAATTGTGGACTTCTCCTATTATATGGCTTTTCGTAATGCTAAAAAAGGTTTTGGTCCAAGGAATGGTGTTGCATCTCCTCATCTTTCAAGTTGGTCTGTCATTTCATTTCCCTCGACTTCTTGATCTCCTGGTACCTATGACAGGGTGACTCTATTGTGAGACGCCAGTTGCTTCATCAGGAGCTGTCGGCAGTCCCATACAAATCTGGACTTAGCTCTTAGTGCAGCCTGACTATCGGAATTGTTGTCTCGCGAAATTTCTGGACACTGACTTCTAGTTTTTACCATCTTTTCTATTTGCAGAAAGTCGATCGAATTCCCAATACCTACGAATTATAATAATCATTATTTTTGTTCTAGATACGAATACGAAAGAGGCAGATACGACCTATCACGACTCTACTCGAAAAAATGCATCAAAGAAGCCAAACTCATATTAAACACAACGTGGATCTTCAACAGCGCCATGCTGATGCTGAAAAACAACTTGGCTGACCACAACAAAAATGACGCTAGGAACGATTTGGCCTTAGCAGTATCGTGCGCGGAAGAACTCGGCGACGAGGAAAAAAGCGACTACCTGACCAAGTGCCAGGAAGTAGTCGAAACTGTCGAATTCGAAGACATGTTCGGAGCGAAGCAGCTGGAAAAACGCGAAAACAAGATCGTCCAAATGATGACCGATTCAAAGATGAAGGACGAAGTGGCGCACTTGTTTAGGCAAATGGCCGCGATGCCAGCCTCGAGACGGATGACCGTGATGCCTGGCGTTAGAGCGAGCGAAAAGGGCAACAAAAAGTCGTTAAAGTCTAGGACGATGTCCATTATGCCTGGCGCTAAAGAATCTAGCGATGTTACTCGGTCAGCTTCCGGTGGATTGAAGGATTTACTTGACTTTTAACAAATTTAAGGTGAAATGCTTTCATTAAGACTGGAGACACAATGACAAATACAAAGTACAAGAGATAAAAATATAATAACACGTTTATCAATGCTATAACCCAGAATAAGTGGATACAGAATACAATAATTTACTTGCCATGCCACGATACAAAATTTCGAATTTTTGGTATTTTATATCTGTCTCTTGTACCTTGTATTTGTCATTGTGTCTTCAGCCTAATCGCTTGGACTGCTTTAATATAGTTTTCCATTTGGTTTGTTAAAGCCGGCGCCACACGATGTGTCCAATCATTGGTCCCAACGTTGGATCCAATGTTAAATACAATGTTTGGCACTTTAGCATTTGGCGAATGTGTCCGCTACACGATGAGACAAACATCATTCCCAACATTGGAACAAACCTTGGAACAAAGGTTGGAATATCGCTGTCCGCATGTCGCATTAAATCGCAGTTATAAACAAGCATGTACTTTCGAGAAAGAAAAGTACAAATCCACTGTCATTTTCTCAAACTATGAGCTTGTATCTTGCATAGCTTCTAGTTACTGCTAGATTATTCAATAGTCGCTTGTGATATAATGGGGAGACAAAATTACGTGTCCATTCATCGGATACTTCTCTAGTTACTGACCGGCTATACATGTGATGGTTTGGACTCACTGTCAGGGTTGCCAGAGAGCAAAAATCTTTTGTATCAACATTAAAGACAAATTATACCAGATTCGGTAAAAATGTACCAGCCTATAATAGGGTGGGGGTGATACTTTTTTCTCAAATGTCACTTTAGAAATAACATTCCAAGACCTACTGGATTGGAACCCGAGTAAAATTGGCTACAAAGCAGTGTTGCCACCTGAAAAAAAAAATTTATAAATTCCCTAAAAAGCTGATTTTTTTTTGCGTTCTTAATTTTAGCATTTAAAACTGAAAATTTTTGGATGAAAATAAAGGAAATTCAAATCCTCATACTTTAAATTGATTTTTCCGGCCTGGAAAAGCGAAAAATCTAAAGAAAAACCTCTGAAAAGGACATTCCAAAGCCTACTTGATGAAACTTGGGTTTTTGTCACTTAGCCCTTTGGAAAACTGGAAATTTTTCGAAATGAAGGAAACTCAAAGCCTCATACTTAAAATAGGTTTTCCTGACTGAAAAAGCCCTAAAAACGCGGAAAATCCAAAGAAAAACCTCTAAAAAGGACATTCCAAAGCCTACTTGATGAAACTTGAGTTTTTGTCACTTAACCCATTGGAAAACTAGAAATTTTTGGTACAAAATGAAGAAAACTCAAAGCCTCGTACTTTAAACCGGTTTTTCCGATCGAAAAAGCCCTGGAAAAGCAGAAAATCCAAAGAAAAACCACTGAAAATGACATTCCAAAGCCTACTTGATGAAATTTGAGTTTTTGTCACTTACCCTATTGGAAAACTGAAAATTTTTGGCACAAAATGAAGGAAACTCAAAGCCTCGTATTTTAAACAATTTTTTCCGTTTCAAAACGGCCTGGAAAAGCGGAAATTTCGAGGAAAAACATGGATAAAAACACTCAAAATGGTCGACTGTCTAAATTGACAAATGACATTTATTAAAGGTTTAAATGATTGAAGTTGGCTACAAACGATGTTGCCACATTACAACTTCCAGAAAAAGTATTTAAATGGGATTTTCCTAATTATTGCATTTAAAAATATAAATTTGTGCTAGAAAATGAAGAAAACTCAAAGCCTCGTACTTAAAATGGGTTTTCCCGACTGAAAAAGCCCTTAAAACGCAACATCCGAAGAAAAACCTCTAAAAATGACATTCCAAAGCCGAGTCCAAAGCCTACTTGATGAAACATTGAGTTTTTGTCACTTACCTCATTGGAAAACTAGAAATTTTTTGTACAAAATGGAGAAAACCCAAAGCCTCGTACTTGAAACCGGGTTTCCCGATCGAAAAAGCCCTAGAAAAGCAGAAAATCCAAAGAAAAACCTCTGAAAAGGACATTCCAAAGCCAACTTGATGAAATTTGTGTTTTTGTTACCCTATTGGAAAACTGAAAATGTTTGGCACAAAATAAAGAAAACTCAAAGCCTCGTACTTTAAACCATTTTTTCCGTTTTAGAACGGCCTGGAAACGCGGAAATTTCGAGGAAAAACATGGATAAAAACACTCAAAATGGTCGACCAAATTGACAAATGACATTTATTACAAGGTTTACATAATTGAAGTTGGCTACAAACGATGTTGCCACATCATAACTTCCAGAAAAAGCATTTAAATGGGATTTTCCTAATTATTGCATTTAAAAATATAAAGTTGTGCTAGAAAATGAAGAAAACTCAAAGCCTCGTACTTAAAATCGGTTTTCCCAACCGAAAAAGCCCTGGAAAAGCGGAAAATTCAAAGAAAAATCTCTCAAAAGGACATTCATATATATACATAGCTGTATACAGACTAGTCTAAAATCAGGTGACTTAACGCGCAGGACAGAGATCTTCCAGTCTGAACGTGCTCTTAGCTAGCTGTAGCTGTATTATAGAACTTCACCTCTTTATAGTTTTGTTTTTCCTACTACTACTTGATGAAACTTAAGTTCTAGTCACTTACCCCATTGGAAAACTGGAAATTTTTTTGCACAAAATGAGAAAAACTCAAAGCCTCGTACTTTAAACTAGTTTTTCCAACTTAAAACGCCTTGGAAAAATGGAAAATTCGAGGAAAAATTGGATAAAAATCCAATTCTTAATTGTCTAAGCTGCTTTTTTTGCCTGATGTTTCTATTATCCTAATATAATTCCATAGTTTTTTTTCCAGGGACAACTAGAAAATGAACATCTAAGTCGACTTATGAAGCAAGGAATAATCCTCAATCCTTTCAATATCTTGTAAATATAGGTATTTTCTAAGGGAGGGAAGAAATAAATTAATTTCAAAATAATAGGATTCTTGTTTAATTCGTTATAAGGTAAAATGCTGTCTTATGGTAGGTAAGTGGTTTCCAGGTGGTTGGTATTGCTTGAAAAATTGAGATAAGTATCCTATATTATTGCAGCCTTATTTATAAAAGTATCTATAGTGATTTAACAGACGCAATGAGAAAAGCACACACACTTAATCCTAAATGAGAAAATACGTAACTAGAACCTTTTAAAAAGGCACCGCCATTTAACCCATTTCACCGTACTCGAATCTTGATAACTCATCAAAAGCTAAACAAAACTACAATCGCAAAATGCCGCCTTGAAAATTAGCGATTAAGTCACGTGCCGACTTAATTAAATCGGCCTTATCACTATCCAAAAACCCCACTTGATATGCGTCAAGGGCAGATAATATACAAATTAGGCTTTAGCATACAGATTTATGCCTTGCAGGAACAAGAAAATAAATCTTCCCAGGAATCCCAATATTGCAGCAATTTATCTAATAAATTAGACGAAATAGTTTCATTTATCTACCCTCCTGTAAAGCGACGATGGACACGTACAATTCTTCGTCTTTGTCATCTGGTTTCGAGATAAAGGCGGGACCGCACGTGCCTGATTACCGCAAAGGACCCCTGCAGATGCACGACAACAAGATCTTATTAAGGGTGCTTTAAGTTGTAAAAATGTCAAAAGAAGAAGACAAGAGGTGACAACTGCGGGTTTGAATTTTAATTAGTTTATGTTTTTACAACTTTGTTTTTTGATAATCAAATCCAAAATATCCCTAATTAATATCAAACTCCTTCACCATTGGGGAATTTGTTCCTGATTTAAGCCCTCCAAAGTCCCTTCACACGCATACATTAAAACGGACAGAGCAACATGATCTAATCATACACAGCTCGTGCCGAAAGGGGTTCGGAACGAAAATGGCTCCCCGGTGTACCATCCATCTCTCTTTTGCATGCAATGCGAGCTTTCTGCAAGTGAATTCATCACGACAAAGGATAATCAGTCACAGAGAGGAAATAATACAGCAGCAGAGGTCAGGGTTTATGATAAAGGATAATGTGTCTGTGTTCATTTATGGAACTAACTGGAATATTGTATTTTGTTATAGGGTGTAACGATAAGTGGTTAAAAATTAAGTTTTGGATTTAAAAATAAAAATTGAATTTACAAACCACTTAATTTTAAAATTAACTGAGAACAGTTCTCATGGACTTTATCATTAACATATGAAGTGATGTTGAGAACGAAAACAAGGTGAGCGAACAGAATCAAACCATTGTTTTTTTCATGGTTTTTGGCAGATTGACTCTTGTAGAGCTAAGATTCGACTGGAAAATTGTGAAAAATTGACTTGGGGACTTATTTTAAATAATATAATGTATAATGTTTATATTTTATGGATCTGAGAATATTTCATTTGAAACTTTCAAATATCTTCAAGACAACCCAGAAATACATACGTCCTGGTAGGAATATTCCTTGATCCCGCAAATCGTTCACCGAAAAATAAATACCCAGACAGCACAGAGACATATTAAAGATGTCCCCCAACCCAAAAAAAAAAAACAATATTGCACAGTACGTGCAAGGTCTGGAAAGGGCTCTACGAGAGCTTGCAGTTAAAACACCCGATGATGACCAAGAATTGGAGCGGTACGGCAATACCATCCAAGGTGCCATAGACTTTGGTGCCATCATTAAATCTTATAAGATGTGAAGTCCACTGAGGATGTTCCAAAACTCTGGTATTAACACCTCTGTCCTCTGCTTGGTGGAACAAGGGCAACGACAAGAAAAGCTTTCAATAAAGCTTAAAACACCAAATTACCTGAGGATTTAAACCTTTATAGGTACTAACTCAACCAGTATAAACAAGTCATACGACAAAAACAAAGAGATGCCTAGAGGACATACATGGAACAAAGGTTGAACTAGAAGCCAAAAATCTAATTGTTCTATTTTAGCTTTCGTTTTTATACTAAGTTTTTGCTCTTTTAATTTTTTGGAATAAAATTACTTTTGGGCCACTGTTATTGTGTGGATTATTTGTATTGTTTGTTGTTGTTTTATTTTTCAGTTAGGTTGTCTTAAAATTCTTTTTCGTTCACTAAAAAAGTCCGCGTTGTCATGTTTACTTTCTGTTAATTATTCTATAATGTTGTTCTTTAATGACAATTATTTGAATGCTGGCTCTCACCATCTTATTCCTTATCTGTTCATTTGGTACAGAACTTTATCTAATAGAAAAAGTTAACCTAAATCACATGACATCAAGATTAGCGAATCTTTAACTTTTAAAAATAAATCTTGAAAAAAAAGGGGACTCCTTAGAAAAAATTTAAAACGTTATGGCTTATCATATACACTAAAAAGGGTATTCATAAGGAGCACACGTGCGCCATACGGACGCAGCTGCTATTTTTTTTTGAAAATCTCACATAATGGGCACGAGGACGTCAAAACAGGATTCTCGAGTTTTAACCCTTATCCAAACACTATACCTGTCTGGTAAAGACTTGGATTTAATTTTGATAGGTCTAATTTAGGAAGTGAATGTCTAAGATTGAAGATTTATGAATACAAGAATATTGAATATAATGTTGGAGTGCAGGTTTTCAAAAGTGAGTTTTGCATGAAATTTCATTTGAAGTTTAAAATAGACACTCAGTAGAAGAATGTCTGAGTCATTCTAAATCAAGGGGTTGCAGACTTTAACCCTTTCATTATTTTTAAGCTTCTATAAACTTGTTCCCTTGTTAAATCAACGATGGACTACCACCCCTTATTAATGGACTTATAAGAATAATCAATACAATTCGCTTTTTTTTTAGGAATAAGTATCTTCTACTCTGAGAAATTTAATTTGTTTAACAGCCTAATAAAAAAAAATTCAAACCCTATGAAATCACTAAACCCATAAAATGTTTGCCCCCAAAGAGCCGTAAAAGCAGGAAATAAAAATTCCGGGTTCGGTTTTTACTGCAGCAATGTTTGCTTAAGTGGCAGCACACACCCTATTACTAAAACTGTTTACTGTCTACAATCTACATAGAATGATTTATTTTAAATCATCCTATTTAACTATTTTTCCACCATTATCATAAATAGCACAAGAAATAAATAAGGGTCTTTATGCAAAAAAAAGGGTTGTATTTTACTAATCATACAAATTACCTTCATAATCAAGATAATACCTGAAGCGTGCCAGCCTTGATTTACGTTTCAGCCGACACGCAATCTAAAAAGGGCAAAATCTACCCTCAAACACCCTGTGTATATATAGATTTCGAGACGGAAAAAAGAAAGAAGTTACAAATTATAGAGAGGTCTATCCCCTCAAAATCATCGACAACAATCGGATTAGGCAAATGTACATTTCCGCTACGCAATTTAAGAAAACCACCCCTTATGGCAGAGGGGTGATCAGAATAAAAACCCTTCAATCAAAAAGGGAGAGAGTCGGATTTTTGCTACAACCGTGTATGTATGTTGTCCACGAAAATCTGCCAAGGCAGGCTACATTGACTAACGAAAAACTTGAATGAGCTCAATATGTTTGGGGTTTGAGATGATTTTTTTTTTGTACATAATGTTAATGTAACTTACAAGGTGGCAATAGAAGACTTTTAGGTTTTTTGCTAATAGTTATGAGTGGTTTATGAGTGGTAGGTATATTCTAGGGGTGGCGAAAGTCGAAATCCAATTATGATCAAATTGCAATTGAAATTTAACAAGTAAAAATAATATTCTCTAGTAGTAGTGTTGTAATATTTCCTATTAATAATTTAATTGTTTAATAACATAATGAAAATTCATATGAAAAACATTGAATGTCGACTAATTTACAAAATCTATAAAGTTCAGCATAATAACGTTATAGCAAAAAGCCACAAGGTACTAAATTGAATTGTTTATTGTCCTTTATAATAAATAATAGGTCTTTTGTTTATTTATTCGAGGCCGCGGCATTCGCCCTTAAAACTATCAAATTTCATTACGATTGCCGCCAAACAAATTGAAGAGGCTTCTTTCACTTCTAATATTCCATCTTGTTTGAAATCGAGATCCTTTTATGCTGATTCAACAGTTTGCACCCAGAGAACGTTGACTCGTAATACCGCCAATAATAGCTGACGTCAGTTTCAGTTTGGACAATACCCGGAATTTACATTTTTCCATACAACTTTTTCAGATTCTTGAGGTTGGAGGTTGGTGAACTAACTTTCTGTTTTTTTTTCTCTTTCAAATGGTAAGCCCTTTTAGGGACAAAGTACAGGTAATTTTCAATTTTGATCAGATCTAGTTCTTTAAATTGAGCGAATACAGCGTAGTCTAGCGATCTAAAATACTTTGTAATATGTGGGCAAACTTATCCCTATAGGAGCTGACAGGTTTTTCGGTGAACGATATTGATCAAAATTTTTATTAATTAATCATGATTGAGGGTTACCTGGACATACCAAAACTGACCGTCTGCCGTTTCAGGGTGACAGCTTTAATCGGGGGCTAAATTTTAAAAAGGGATGAATTTTCATTTTGGTGAACGATATTGATCAAGGTCGAAATTTTCGGAAACGAATTAACAGTTTGAGGACTTAGCAATATTAAACAGGCAGACGATTTGTTTGACAGCATTACTTCGGCAGACGCCTGTCAAATTTGTAATTTTCAAGTTTTAGGGAACGACATTTATCAAATTTTGTTTTTTTTGCAAATCGATTCCTTTACTAATGTACTCTCAGAAAAAATATCGGCAGACGAAAAAGACGGCAGCGTTTTTTTGGCAGACGCTGGAATAATGACAAGTTGATTTATGGTAAACAATACTAATGATAGCTGATATTCATGAAAGCGTTAGAGCAGCTCTAGTGTATTCAAAATTCAAATAGGCAGAAGATTTATTTGACAGCACAATTTTGGCAGACACTATCAAATTTTGTCATATACAGGGTATCCCAGCCAAGAGTGACCCATTTGAAATGCTTATAACTTCTAAACT